GGAATATGTCAGAAATGCCTCTGGGTTAGCATAAGCCCAGCCAGGACAGGCCATGCAGCGTCCCCTACCCTCCTGGAATTCTTGCTTCTGAAGCTCTGAAGGAACATGGAAGAAGCCAGACTCCCTTGAGATGGCCATGACGTAAGGAAGTAGTCAGGCATGGCAACTTGCCAACTATTGTCGGGAACTTTCTCCACCCAGGCACAGACTCGTGTCCCAGCAGGCCAGCTCTGAGGTTCACTCAGGGTAGCTGCTTCTCTAGTTCAGGAGATCTGAGAATAGAGTCCAAGAAAGGGTTTAGGGAGAGAGTAACCGTGCTTTCTGGAGAACGTGCTAGGGTACAACCCCACTCACCTGCCAAAGACATCCTTGTATCTGCTGAGTACCTACTATGTGCCAGACACACACCCATGTACTGTGTTTGTTTATAGTTGTTACCTAGTATGCTCCTTAGAGCTAAGTATCACCCCCAGTTCCATGTGAGGAGCCCGAGGCACAGAGTTGTCCGTTCACTGCCTCAAATCACACAGCTGGTAAATGGCTGAGTGGGGTTTCAGACTCAGACCATTGCCCTCCGTCTAGAATCCTCAGCTACAAGGTTCCTGAGCAAGAAAAAATAGAGTATGGGTCAGCTTGGGAGTGACTAAAGTTATCCCGTGTGTGTCCCTGAGGCTTGGTCCTGTTGCTATGAAAATGAAAGGAGGGGAACGCTTACCTAACACCAAAGCTGGTTCCTGCAGAGAGAATGGGCAGTGCTTGGTGGCATATGACAGTCTCCTCAGCGGAGGCAGGGAGATTGCTTTGAGCTCAAAGCCAGCCTGGGCTACATAGTGAGTTCAACACTAGCATGAGATATAGAGAAGACCCTGTCTCAAAAACCAGAAAAAGAAATAAAGCAATAAAAAATATTCTACAACACCCCCCCCCAAAAAAAGCATTCTGGAAGCATGTGGTGGTTTGAATGAGAATTGTCCCTCCCATAGGCTTAGATTTGAGTGCCTGGTCCCCAGCTGATAAACTGTTTGGGAAGGATTAGGAGGTGTGGCCTTGTTGGTAGAGGTGTGTCACTAAAAGTGAGCTTTGAAGGTTTTTAAAGCCTGTCCTGGAACGAGCTCTTGTAGACTAGGCTGGCCTCAAACCCATAAAGATCTGCCTGCCTCTGCCTCTCGAGTGCTGGAATTAAAGGCGTGTGCCATCACTGCCCGGCACAAGCTTTGAGGTTTTTAAAGCCCACACCAGGCCCAGTGTCTCGCTCTGCCTGCTGCCTGAGGGTCAGGATGTAAAGCTCTCAACTCCAGGCACCATGCCTGTCTACTTCCCTGCACGACAATCACGGACTAACCTCTACAACTGTCAACAAGCCCCCAGTTAAATTCTTTCTTTTAGCAAGGCATGGTGGCACACACCTTTAATCCCAGCACTCAGAAGGCAGAGGCAGGCAGATCTCTGTGAGTTCAAGACGAGTCTGGTCTACAGAGTGAGTTCCAGGACAGCCAGGGCTACACAGAAAAACCATGTCTTGAAAAACCAAAATAAATAAATAAGTAATAATAATAAATAAACAAAACCAACTATAAGGGAAGAAATGAAAAATGTTTTCACTCACAGGCAACATAGCAGAAGCTAGAAATTGCCCTAGGGAATACACAAGGTACTGGAAAGATTACATGGGTTTCATAGTTTTAAGATACATGGTAGGGCTGGGTGTCATTTAGCAGCTGAGTGCTTGGTCAATCACATGCAGGTCCTGAGTTCCAACGATGTCAGCCTCTGTCTACAACCTTCTCTGCTCCCCAACAGACGCATCCCAAGAGGCCAGTTGCAAGGAACACCCCAGGTTCTGGTTCTCCATTCAAGAGAGCTGAAGTTAGGGGAGTATAGGACAGGTTTGGAGGGAGAAAGGTCAATAATGCTCTCTGGAGCCTAGAGGGGGATGGGTAGGTCATGGGCACAAAACCCACAAAAACCAGAGGTCAAAATCAATACAAAGTCAAAGTACATTGTGTCCTTGTGGGGTGTGAACTAAGCCCTTTGGTCTGAATTCACAAGCTGACCGTTATTCTGTGGCCTGACCGTCAGGATCATGACCTTTGAGGTCAGACACCTGAGCTGAAACCCTGCCTTGCTGCTCCTTGGCTGAATGACACAGGCACATGTTTGACACAGACATCACCTGAAAGGGCACTTGGAAAGGGGGAGGGGACTCAGCTCATCAGTGTGTGGGGAACACTCTCAGAATGTACAGGTTCGAGTGCCTAACCATGGGACTAGTTCACAGAAATTGCCTCAAATTTGCATGCGTTTGTGGGAGGTTGTGCTCTTGGAGAAAGGGGCTGGAGGTTTCTGCTAGGGGTGTAAGGAGTGAAGCCTTTCCGTGCAGACCTCCACCTGGTGTGCAAACTCCTCGGGATCACAGTCCACATTTGTTTATCTTTGCATCCCAGCGGCACGGGCCGTTTTCACACCTCTGCAAAAGCAGTCTAGCTTGTGCCCAGGCCTGAGGCGCCTGTGGCTGCAACTGCAGTACATTGCCACCAGGTGGGTTCTGGAGCCCAACAGCGTTACCTACAGAGAGCGAAATAGCTTTTTGTTTAAAGATTTCTTGGAGGTCTGGCTCCAGCGCCTTCCCGCTCCGTGGCCTTTATTAAGGTATGTTAGTACTGTCAACATGACGTGATTCAGAATCACCTAGAAGAAGGGCAGCTGAGCATGCCTGTGGGGGATCACTATGAGCATTAACGGAGGCAGAAGGACCAGCCTCCTGTGGATGGAGCTGTTCTCTGACCCAGATCCTGGACGGAGGAAAAGGACCAAGCGACAACGCCTTCATTCTTTGCTCCCTTCTAGCTGTGGATGCGATGTGACCAGCTGCTTGAGGCTCCTGCTGTTTTAACTTCCCCGAGAAGTTTATACCTTCTACCGAGATAAATGGTCTTCCTTAAGTTGTTTTTGTTACTACTGTCCCAGTATAGGACACTGAGCCTGGAAATGGGTGTGGTGAATTGCTTGGTGATCCTTGTACCCCCTCCTCGCCCCCGCCTCTTGAAACCTCTCCAAGTTGGTCGTGAGAACAAAAACTCCTAAGTATAGGTGGGTAAATTATACCTTAGGGAACCTGTACTGTAGCCAGCTAAACCACAGAATTCTCTCCTGCTCCTTCAGGGTTCCACACGATTGGCACCGTGGCTTCTCTTAGGGACGGGGTTCTCCTTACAGAGGGCACAGCAGTGGGTTTTAGCCGTAGAGGAACAGTCCCTACAACCATTTCCAGCCTTCTCCCACTTTCCGCTTTTCCAAAAGTCTCAGAGACGTGCACCCATTCAGGGGCCAAATGATACATGTTCCAAGTAATTTTTATTTTAGAATACAAGAGAAGTACAAATGTATTTACAGTTGTACATATACAATCAAATAATATATATCACAGTTTCGTAAATATCATCTTAGATAAACATTTACAAAGTTAAAGTGACCATTTTCTGGGAGTAGAACACACTTTTTTGAAAACTCTATACATTTTATACTTTTGTTAATATTATTATAGTTTTGTGTTTTGTTTTTAATTTTACAAACGCCCCGGTGTGCGGAGGGAGGGTGTTGGGGTGGGTGGAGGGGGTCGGGAGGAGATGATTCTGGTAAAAGACAAGGTTTGAGATGACACCAGAGGGCGCCCACGGTCGGAGCAGGCAAAGGCGTGGGCAGGGGCGCATGGCAGTGTGGGCATATGGGGACGAACCCCGGGCCACCCGAGCGCCTCAGAGGGCTTTCTAGACAGAGAAGCCAACCTCGGCTTCAGACGGCTCTGTACGGTCGATCATTCTCTTGTTTGGATGCTTAATAGGGTGGAGTTGAGGGTGCCTCTCCATTCCTAAACTCAAAGACAGTAGAGTTTAAGAGGAGTCTACCTGGTCTAACTTCCGCGTTCTACAGATGGGGAAACTGAGGCTCCAAAAGGGACAGGGTCTTGCCCAGGGGCTATGGTGAATGTTCCTTGTGTCTTCACTCTCAATTTGCCCAGCACACTTCAGAGCGTATTCGCATCTTGTCCTTCCCTGGGAGCCTGGTGCTGGGGAAAGTAGCCTGATGGAAAGCAGGGACCAGGACGACAGGTCTCTCCGGGCCTGTGCTAATCTAGCCTTTCAGCCCAAATCGCTGCCAAGTGTCACCGAAGTTCTCTCCACTCGTGACACATCAAGACACCATTCCAAGGGGGCAGAGATGGGCACGGCCCACCCCGGACCAAGGAGGTGGCTTTCCCTTCCACTCCCAAGTACTAAGCTCTCTTTGGAGATCGTCTGTCCCTCTCCTGTCATCCACGAGAGAGATGTTCGCGTGGGGGCGCGGCCCTGCAGGAGGGAGACTCCGGGATGGAACCGAACGTGTGGACCTGCTCCCAAGAAGAGGCCACAGGGCAGCCACACCAGCCGGGTGGCCTGGCCAGAGGACGTCGCCCCTCGGCATCTTCCTCTGCGAGATGTATCAGAAGTGGATTCCGGGTTGCAGGCGCCTCGGTGGCGCCCGACGCGGGAGTCAGGTCCACCACAGCGGCGGCGGGGAGGCGCGTGCGCGTGGGGCGCGTGCGCGGCGCTCACAGCACCAT